TTGGGTGGCGGGGCCAGTTGGCTTGGAGGTGGCGATGATCATCGCCGCTTCCGGGCACAATGGCAGAGGCCATAGCAGCATCATGAACAGAAGAAGAAATGTCACTGTGATTCTCATCCTGTGTCTCAGCAACAGTCAACAGAGTGGCGGAAACTACTGTTGTTGTTTCTACTACTCGTCAGCTACTACTACGACGAAGACGAGGACGACGACTACTGCGACGACGGCTAATGCTACGACTAGTAATGGTACCACTACCGCTACCACTGCCACTACAACTACCACTACCACTACGACCATCAACACCACCACCACCACCACGACTACGGCTGCTGCTGCCACTCCTATTACCGCTACGACGACGACTACTACCACCACGACTACCGCTACTACTACCTCTACCTCTACTTCTACCAGCACCAGTAACAGTAGCAGTATGGTGATAATGCCAGCAACCACAATGATAACAACATTAACTTAATGATGATCAAGACAATAATAACAACAATAAGACCAGACAACAACAGTAATAAGAACAACAATGGTAATAGCAACAAAAACAACAATACATTAAGACTAACCCCAACGCAAGTGCAGACACTGATACAAAGACTGATACTGGTACGGATCATACTCATGAGTAACAACAACGAAGATTCCTAATACCCAAAGTATCACACCAAGACAATTTCACCGTACTGCTGCTGCTACTACTTGGCATGCATACTTGGAGGTGCATGGGTAGCTATAAGTGGGATCATGGGTGCCCTAATACGGGTTATAAGTATAGTTACCCTACTCACAACCCCATTGATAACTACCCATGAACCCCCAGGTACTGTGTGAAGAGGGGCTTGCGAGAGGTACACCTGCGCCGGGCGTTTGGGATGCTCGGTGCCAAAGAAATGGGCATCGTAATTTTATAGGGTTTAGGGTTTAGGGCTTAGGACATACCCACGGTATTTACAGGTTTAGCTTTGTGTTTTTCCGGCTTCGGATTTAGGGTCTATTGGGCGGTTAGGCTTCCGTCATCTTGGATGGTCTGTTTCGGAGAGTTTGCTGGTCCCACAGACTTCGCTGAGAGGCTTGGGATCGGCGTGCATCTCCAGGAGAAGCTTCACCATTCCTGAAGATGAACAACCTATAGCTCCTAAGCTGTCGTTCCATTTTGGGGTTGCTGGAAACAGGCTACACTACGAAAATACTACACTTGAGGGCTTTTGAACCAAAGGGCTCTGGGGTATACCACAGACAAGAAAAGCCGCTTCATGGGAATAGGTTTGTTGTAGTTCTTCCGACCTCACTATGTTGGCGTTACTAATTACCAAAAAAGTTTTGATTGCTGCCATTATCAACAACGTTGTTGCTATTGCCATGGTTATTGTTACCTTTTCCCTAAACCCTAAACCCTAAACCCTAAACCCCTAAATCCTAAAGCCCTCTAAACTCTGAACCCTAAACCCTAAACCCTGAAACCCTAAACCCTAAAACCCTAAAGTCCTAAACCATAAACCCTCAAACCCCTGAAACCCTGAAATCCTAAAGCCCTAAGCCCTAAACCCCTAACCCCTAGACCCTAAACCCCTAAAGCCCAAAGCCCTAAACCCCCAACCTTAAACCCCTACTTGGAGGATCATGGG